TGTGTGTGTTTGGTGGGAATGGAGAATAGGGGAAGGGGGGATTTAAGATAATGATTACCACTGAAACTTTAACATATTGCAATGAGGAAGGTGATGGTTTGCTGATGTGCAAAATGTTCGCAATATCCACTGATGTCCGAGTAAAATCGTCTTTTCATTTAATACAATTTTATTGATTGATTTATTTATCATTGTATAAGTAATGGTTATTTTACAGATATTCTTATTACTTTTATCACACCATTACAATACGCAATGTATAATAGATTAATTTGTTCTTTTAGTATTAGCGATTTTATTGTTATCATATTTAACTTGAATTGTTATTACAATTTTGGGGGTTTTATGTTATTTTTATATTCATAATTGTTTACATTTCTATGATGATCATCATCATCTTTGGTATCATTATTATTATCATTATTATAATAATTTTTATCAATAGTCGTCTGGTCGCGCGAAACCATATTGAACAGTCTGTCTGATCGAAATGATCGGCTGCTCTCCATGATCCATCAGTGTAAAGTTACGCACGACGAGAGTACTGTGTGTCGCTTGTAGTGGCTGCTGAGGCGCGCGCGAGTCTCGGAGTGAGTCGAACTGTTGAACGTGAGTACGTACACCCAAACGCCGAGCGCTCGGGACGAACGGTGAGGGGGCTGTGAGAGGGGAAGAGGGGTAGTAGCCTAGCCTAGTAGGCAGCAGCCAAGGTGAACGCGCGGCTTGTATCACCTGTTTCCTCGAGTTTTCCGGAACCGTTTCATGGGTGCCTCTCTTTAACAATACACGGCTGGAGGGAGTCGGGGGCGCGCTGGAAGCGTTACTCAAGAGGGTGAAGCGACTCTTGTAAGCACATTTTCCCCTCGTTATACCTCTTCCTCTCTACAGCAGCGATCGGCTTTTCGCCACGAGTCATTGCTTTTTACTCCTCTTTGGGACGGAAAGAACGATATTTGAAGTCGGAGGAGAAAGACCTGTTTGCTGTTTTAGGCAGGGGCTGGCTGGCTGTCCCCCGCTCTTGAAATGATTTGACGACAGCTCCGGAATATTTCTTGAATCCCACTTCCCCAAACGTGCTTTATTGTAACTGAAACATAACGTAGATCTATTTTGTTCTGAGGATTTATTTGTAACGAATTTAAATCTATTTGTTTTCAAAAGGACAAAACAGTTGTATTCTTTGGAATCTTGGACTTTCTTCAAAGGAGTTGAGTGTGTACGTGGGAATCTTATTTCAAACGTGTAACCCTGCAAAGCTTCTAAGCTAAACATTGTGGACAACTTTATAACAGGTGAGAGGGAAAATGTGATGGTACTTTTGGAGTATATTTCATTGTTTTTCACAGCGTTTTAGAAATAAGTCCATAGCTTTGTTCATTAGTAGCTAACAGATCTATATTATTCTACTGTTCAGAAACGCATATGCATAATGCTGTGATATAGACAGCAAAGTGTTGAAACTCTTGCAAGCTTACTTTACAAAATTATAGACAAAAACTTCAATATTTAACATTAGAGAGTTATTAATTTTTTTACCTCAAACTTTTGAAGTGTAGCGTAAATATGTGCCTATAGATCATATACGTCGTTACAGCCCATGCATCAGACATTTAGAATGTAGAATAAAAGTGTTTAGAGAGTATCTTAACCGGTACATCCTGGTTAATCTCAGTATCTCAGTAAACGCTTAGAACATTTACATTATTTCATAAGTTTCTTTTGAACTGGACAGATTTCTTTGACTTTTGTGAGATTTCTAAGCTCAACAGAAAGCTCAAAGTCATCAAAATCTCTCTCTCTCTGTTCCTATAGACAGATTTATATGGGAATTATTTTGTTTATTTTTTGTTTATTTGTTTGTTTGTCTGTTTGTTTGTCTGTCTGTTGTCTGTTTGTTGGTTGGTTTGTTCGTTTGTTTGTTGGTTTATTTGACGTTTGTTTGCATGTTTATTTGTTTTTTATTATTCAACTAGATATGTATATCTAGATCTAGATCTAGTCAAAGACAAAATTGCACCAAAAATGTAAATCTCATTAAATCTTTTTTTTTAAGCTGTGGTACTGCGTTCGCTGACTCCGCCTAAAAGTGTGAATTAGTTTTCTTTTTGCAAGTATGCTATTGTATTGTTGTGTTTTTTCTATAATGTATACTTTAAAATATTTTTTTTTTAATATGATTTATTATGATATACTAGATCTAGATCTAGATATCTAGATCTAGCCTTTCATTTTTCTATGTGAGGTTTTCTTTTTGTTTGTTTGTTTTTGTTTGTTTGTTTGTTGTTGTTTTTTTGTTAAGCTGGAGAGAAGTGGATAATAATAATTTATGTCACCTATTATACTCCAATACACTAATGTGTTGTAAAAACTGACTCATTACGCACCATTGTTTTAAAGGTAAAGACTTGAAGAATGTTGGGATATTAAATTGTTGTTTTGAAACTCCCTTTCCATCTCCAAAAATTTTGTTCGTCTCTATGCTGTAGTCTTTATTTCAAACTTGATACTTCTGTTGTCTGAAAAAACAATCCGTCACAGGATTGGAACATCCGTAATTTAATACAAATTGACACCATTGTAAGAAAAATCCTCGAAAGTTATTCCTAGATCTATTCCCAAACATTATTCTCTTGGTTGTTTTAGGATTTTTTCTAAAGAGGCAGCCGTCAGCATCTTCATCAAAAAGTCACACCATTTTTTTTATTGCTTAGGGCTAGTTTTGTTTTTTTAACTAGGCTACCTCCAAAAGAAAAGCAACAAATAAACAAACACAATCGAAAAATCGAACAAACAAATAAATATATTCATTGGCAAACAATTCGGTATAAAATAAAACAATGACCTAGCTAGATCTGACTCCAACGGCTTTGTTTAGAACATAAAAGCAGTTTCCTTTGAAAGAATATTATGCTCAAAACTTTCGGTGTAGCTTATACCTATTGTGGAGTATATCTATATATAGTAAGACCACACTTTATTTTGGCTAAAACAGCACCTGGACATGGATGGCTGGTGCCTCTATAAATAAATCATTGATGGTCACTTCATTTCAATCACGATTAATTTTAACTTCACTTTTTCTAGCAGGGGATTAATATGTCTGTTTTTAAAAATAATTTTTGGGTTTTCTCCTTTTTTGATTACCAACTCATCTTTCCTTTTATTTTGCTTTGTTTTCATTCAGTTTAATTTTTCTTGATGGCTTTCTGTTTTAGGCCAGACATAGTTTGCGACAAATCTGGTAATCAAACATTTTATATACAACGACATTTATTCAGTTTACAACAACGTTTACAGCAAATCATCAAGCTTAAATATTTGTTTAAAAAATAACATATTAAAACCATATAAAGAAGATCAAATTTCATAGCTCTGGGGTGAATTGTAGCTCTGGGTTCTCTAAATTCAAAAACATTTTCCACACAGACTGTCATCCAAAAGCTCAGATTGTAATAATTTCTAGTGCAAAAAAGTGACGTGTTTCGAACGCATGAACGTGTATAAAACACACGCATCGTGGAACTACCATCCATCCATCCTTCCTTCCGTCCATCCATCCAGCCAGCCATCATCCATCCATCCATTCATCCATGCATCCACCCCTCTGTCCGTCCGTCCGCCCGTCCGCCCGTCCGTCCGTCGGTGTGTCGGTCTGTCTGTGTGTCTGTGTGTCTGTGTGTCTGTGTGTGTGTCTATCTATCTTATTTTCTATCTATCTATCTATCTTGGAGTGCGACCCACCCTCTTTCTCTCTCCCTCCCCTTTTTTTTCTTTCTCTTCCTCCTTATCTCTTTTCTTCTCAAAACCCAGACTCTTTTGTTCTTTGACCCTTCTTTTTCCTGTCTTTTGAGCTCTTAGCCTCCCTCCCCCTCCCTATTATATAATATAATATCTCTCATCCCCTTTTCTCTCTCTCTCCCTCTCCCTCGCTCTCTCTCTCTCTCTCTCTCTTTCTCTCTCTCTCTCTCTCTCTCTCTCTCTCTCTAATTATAAATGTTGTTCACGAACAGCGACAGATTTCAATCATTATGAGCACGTTCGTTTTCAATTGTGGCTTAGTTCCCTACGATCTCCCCCTGAGCGACCTGTATTATGTCCAAGTGGAAATATTTTGAATTTATGTTGATCAGGAAAGGTCGGTCAGCGAAGAATCAAAAGCAGGTTTAAAGTGGAAAATCTCACTCACCCCCCGCCCCCTCCCTCCCCACAACACACACACAAAAATCGTTTTGTAGTTTAGTAGCTGCATAAAGTCATATCAGCGCGCGAAACTCAAGTTGGTTGCATTCATAACAATTCACCGTACGGCTTGGTTTTGGTCAACGGTCAGATTACATGAGGAACAAAATTACGTTAAAAAGAGAAAGCATACATAAAAGGCAGTTTTTTGGGACACCTGAATAGACATAAATGTCTTGAACACATTACTCTCACTGGCAAAATTGAAGGCAAACGAGGCAGGGGTCGGCCTAGAGCAACCTACTCAAGGAACCTAAACACACAACAGGGAAAGATCATGTAAACGTAGCTTTTTAAGAGCATCCGAGCAAAGGAATGAATGGAAAACCATGATCGCCGATGTCTGTCGCAGATCTGGCACTGGATGATGCTGATGATGATATAAAAAAGATATAGGAATGAGAAATGAACACCAGATGAAAAAATGTCGGAGCTATCTTGGATTTGAACCCGATTGTATACCGTCAATCAGCGGACGGGGTTTGTGGATGGAAGGCGAGTAATGCTGGGCCGTATTTGTGAGCGAGTCGAGAGCGAGATAACTACCTGTACTTAGAAAAAAAAAACGTGGGAATGTGGAAATGGGGGGAATGGGGGAGGGGCGGTTATAACAAAAAACAACAAACAAACAAACGGACAAACAATTAAGAGCTGCACAGACCTTTATACCATAGTAATTTCGTCGGAGGATAGTACGAAGAAAACATTTTTTCAGGCCCAGGAAAGAGGAGAGAGAAAGAGAGAGAGAGAGAGAGAGAGAGAGAGAGAGAGAGAGAGAGAGAGAGAGAGAGAGAGAGAGAGAGAGAGAGAAAGACAGACAGAGAGCGAAACAGAGACAGAGAGAGAGAGAAAGAAAGAGAAAGAGTGAAAGAGAGTGAGATAGAGAGACAGAGACAGAGAGACAGACAGAGAGACAGACAGACAGAGAGATAGAGAGAGAGACACAGAGAGAGATATATTTGTTGTGGCTTCAGAAGTAGACAGAGCGAGGAAAAAAGCATTTTATCAGACGCTGTGTGCTAGACTTTAGAAGGGTGTTATTAGAGAGTATGTATGAGTAGAAGGATGTAGTGCAGCCTGAAGCGTACCCGTATGCACCGACAACTGTACTAGTAAACGGCCCTTAGAAGCTTCCGGAATCCCCTCGACTCAGGGCGTTACCCAACATGGATTAGCCATTTTCCCATTTTCTGCGTACCTGTGTGGTGTGAGCAAGCGAGGACAGACCAGTTGGGGGGTTCCAAAGCGAGCAAGTGTTGTTAAGAGTTTTGGTGACACGAGACGGGACATAGATTTTGTTTTATTTCTTTTTCTCTGTGAGCATGAGAAGCAGGGAGCGAAACAAAAGAGCCTGTGAGCGTCGAGGGGAGTCATTGCTTTTTAAGATTTCTCTGCTGTTATGAACATGCGTAATAAACCGATACAGGGAAATCTGATCAGGCGAGGCGGACTTTTTTCTTTTGGGCTCCTACATTGTGAAAAGCCAAACAGCCAGAGTATTGTGTATCGTGACAAGATCGTTTATTGATGACGCCTAAAGCCATTTAGCGATATGCACTCAAGTGGAGTGCGTTCTAACAAATCTGAGAAATATTCTTGCAAATTGCTCTGAGCAGTAGCTACGAATTTCCGCCCACAAAACAATACTTATTGTAGCATAATGACATTATACAATGAGCGTGTTTATGTGTTTGTAATAACAAAGGATCGTCAATCTGTTGCTAAATCGTAAACACATATTGTTTTAATTAATACTCATTGGCGGGTTTTCCAATTCTTCAGGTATGTTCTTGGGAGATGATACTTCTTTAGATCTTTAGAAAAAACTGTTTTGCGAAAAGAATTTTGTTTCAATTGTAGGCCTGTTATAGTTCTTGTGTTTCAATTGTAGGCCTGTTATAGTTCTTGTGTTTCAATTGTAGGCCTGTTATAGTTCTTGTGTTTCAATTGTAGGCCTGTTATAGTTCTTGTGTTTCAATTGTAAGCCTGTTATAGTTCTTGTGTTTCTCTCTGTTTTGGTTTCTGTTTTATCGGAGTAGAGAATGATTTGTGTTTGTGTTTTGTTTGTGCCTGTTTTGTGTTTGTGCCTGTTTTGTGTTTTTGTCTATTTTTGTGTTTTTGTCTCTGTTTGTGTTGGTGTTTTTTGTGTTTATGCTTGTGTTTTGTGTTTTATGTCTACGTCTGTGGGGGGGTTTTGTGGGGGGGGTTTTGTATTTGTTTGTTGCAAGGCAATGAAAGAGCAAGCGAGCGAGAGAGCGAGAGAGAGAGAGAGAGAGAGAGAAAGAGAGAGAGAGAAAGAGAGAAAGAGAGAGAGAGAGAGAGAGAGAGAGAGAGAGAGAGAGAGAGAGAGAGAGAGAGAGAGAGACGGGGATGAAAAAGAGTGCGACTGTATGTGCACATAAATCCTGCATACAAGTTTACGCTTTCGTGCATGTAAGCCTTTGAAGGGTGTGTGATTGAATATATCTGGGTTTTTTGTGGTTGTAGTTGTTGGTTTTTGTTTGTTTGTTTGTTTGTTTCTTTCTTTCTTTCTTTCTTGTTATCTAAGGTTTTGAAGGTAACACACCAATTTGAGGGATGCTGTGGGAGATCATGCATTATACATCTTTTATATTAAGCAGAGGCTAATTTATTTACATGCACAATGCAGGTGTTTTTAAGCCACCATAGACACAATTTAGATTATATGCTTTTTTCCCTGTCTGTCAGCCCAACCGGGGCTGAGAAGGATACAACAGCCTTGCAGAAAAACCGAGATACTTGACACAATTGTTCTCCTCATTCGAGAATTGAACTCGGGTCTCCTGCGTGCGACAGCTAAGCGCCAGATCGCTGTACCACGACGCCGGCAAGAGCAAAGTAATGAAGTTGTCGACAAAATAATAGTATAGTACCAAATGGACAGTGCAGTATCTGTTCGCGCTTATTAATATTATTACTAATGTATTATTTCTCTTTTCCCCTCAGGTCTTCAGTGTGACAACAACATTCAAGTCTCAGTGCCTCTGTTGTTTTCCTTCTCCCCCCGAGACCTGAGAAGAGCGAAAGCTCCAGCAATGAGGGGTGTGAGTTAGCCCAGGCGGCGCCTTCTGCAACAGCTCGGAGAATGTCGTGAGTTACTCTCACAACACGTGACTGAGGGGCCAACAGAATTTGTCCTCCAAGACGACAACTTTCCTCGACCAACTTTTCACTTCACTTCCACCCCACGGGATTACAGTACAGCTTCGTGCTGGGTTTTTTGCTGGATCGTATTTGAATTTGGTGGTTGTATTAATTGTTACTATAGTGCAGCACAAGCTGAGTTTTATTTTTAGCTTTTCTTTTACCGGACTTGTTTGCTTTCAAAGGGCACTTTGGATTTATTGAATTTCTGTAAATGTGTGGACAAGACGTGTGGGATTTATTGACGATTTTGAATCGACATTCTGTTCCCATCGTGTGAGGGATCTCTGAAAATAATATCTTCAAAATGGCTGTTCGTGTATGGAAAGTGGGCGCCTACTTGATGTGTCTGGTTCTTTGGGAGTTATTACTGGTGACATCAGCGGTGTACGCCACAGAGGAAGTGTTTATCACCTACGCCAGATGCCGGGTGCAATGTGTCACACAGGTGAGAAAACTCATGCCATATACTGGGAGGAATTCCGTAACGAGTGACAACTATGAAATAGATAGAAGGTTACGGTTTGAGTTAGGGTTCAGACTAGGGTTAAGGTTAGGGTTGGGGTTGGGATTAGAGTTATGACTATAGTTTGGGTCTGGGTCTGGGTTTGGGTTAGGGCTAGAGTAAGGGTTAGGATCAGGGAGAGGGTTAGGGTTAGGTCCACTTTTTATTTTGTTTATTGGTGTGGTCGCTCGTTACAGAAGTCCTTTTCCGGCATTTTGATCCCACGTTCTTGTTGTTGTTATACTGGTGGTTGTGATAGAGGGAACATATGTGTGGTGGTGGTATGAAGTAACTTATTGTGTTGAGATATGGCCCAGACCAAGAAACGTTTGGTGGATGGATGGAGGTCACCGCCGATAGTTCCTACTTTATAACTTTCCCTCTATTGTTTCTGTTTGTTTACATTTTTCCGGCGCTAAATTAATGATCTTTATTTTGTCGATCTTTACACAACAAAAAAAAAAAAAACAACAACAACAACAACAAAAAACCAAAAAACAGACAAACAAACAAAGAAGGCCAACAAAGTAGAAAACGAACAAACGCTATTGTTGCAACCCTCTGTCAGCTGTCCATGGGAAGTTTGGCGTCACTGTTGACAAATGTCAGGCGATTCCAAAGGTCATTTGTCCACTCTCAGGGTTCTCACAGCTTGCTCCTCTAAGGACGACATTGGCTAAAACTTACTTGCCCTTATCTTTGGGATCTAGATCTAGATCTAGTAATCCATTACTAGATCTAGAGTCCCGGGCTTTTTGTGAAATTAGTTATATTCAAGCCTACAATCTTACTGAAACCACAGGTTCCATTATTTACTTTGGCCGCCACACACGTACCCCTATGCACAAATCGCTACATTAAAATTACAAATCTCTATCTGACATTTATGCTGTTTTGAGTCACTAAGACAATGTAGTCAGAAATCAAATTATGTTCTATCAGCTCTATCAAAACCGTAATATTATTCAGTGTCGTCATCAGGATATATAAAAAAATTCATTTTGAAAAGCTTGACATGAAATGAAATTCAAAATCTTCAAAACTGAGCAGATAAAACTTTGTAATTCTGAGGTAGTGAAATATACACCCAGACTAGCTAGCGTCTGTAGTGTATTGGTAAGGCGGTTTGCCGTCGCAGGCAGAGGATGCGAGTTCAGTTCCGGTGTGGGGATACTTTTTGATAAAGTATCTCTCGTCTTTCTGCAGAAATATTGTATCCCTGACTGTCAGCCCTTTTGTCCCTGACAGGCAGGTTTGAAAATTATTTTATATTTCAACAGATTATACAACCTTAATGGACTGTTTACTTAAATTAAGATCGAAACAGTTTTTGATGACAAGAAGAAGATAGCTTTTCCGTTGTAGGACAGTACCGGCCACCTGTAAGTTTATCTGCTTCCTCTTTTACTGTTGTTGATGGCACCTTCTTGCGAAAAACAAGTAACATACTGCGCGACCATCAACTGCTACTAACGTCACGGGAAGCGGATACAGGGATTGTCCCGTTTATCTTTCTGGTAGGAAGGGGAGAAAAGCATGGGGAGGTAAGGGGGGGGGCGGAGGCACAAGTTGTGTGGAACGTCACTACTAGGTCATGTGACAAGGACAGATAACTTTTGGGTTAAGACAGAAGACTTCCCATTGCCATCTTTTCCTAATCTCTCTGTTACCTTTACGCTCACATAAAGTGCCTCGATGGTTTTAATGACTTTCATCCCTTGGATGTTGCTCTTCGTCTATCTCTGTCTTTTGTCTTTGTCTGTCTGTCTATCTATTTGTCTGTTGCTCTCGCTCTCGCTCTCTCTCTCTCTCTCTCTCTCTCTCTCTCTCTCTC